GCCTGTATTCAGACCTGTATTTAATCTCAACCTGTATTTGTTTTTACTGGCCTGGCCACTTTGAGTAAATGGTACCCCATTTAATGAGAAGTCCAGAGGCCAACATTTGTGTAATTTTAACAAAGTGCAATCTAAGTTGAACACATGTTTTCAATTAGGCCCACTTGGTTCCACTCAAAATGGAGCAGGGTGAAGAAATTGATTTCCATTTTGAGAAACTGCAAAAAAAAATAATGAAATATTGCCACTACAGTGGGTCAAATTAATGGATCAAAGAATGAAACAAATTCCTTATTTTACAGCTTTATGTTTGAAATTTTCTCATTTGCAATTAGGAGGATTCTGTCAAGATTCCACTAAACTAGGCACTACTTTTCTGTTCATTCTTTACATGTGGATGCCAATCCCTTTGCGTTTCTTTTTGGAGCTCAAAACACAAAGGATAAAAACCAATGTGACGTGTTTTTATCATGTTGTTCTTAATCTGTGCAATGTGAGAATTAGGAAACTTTGTGAAATGAGAATCAAGGATATATGCAGTATATAAGAGTGAGAACAAAGGAGCCTTCATTCTCTTCACATCCCCTTTCCAAAAGCCAGGATGGATGCAGAATCACTGCAGGAGAGATCACTGAACTAATCTCTTAAAATGCCATTCAGAGAGCACTGCTCCTTATATGGATGAAAATAGGAGCAGTGCAAGAATATGAAACTCTACCATTTACTTCACAGTCCAACTATACAAAAAAAAACTATTAGCAAAATGTATGTAATCCATATTGGAATTCAGGGACTAAAAAAAAGCAAATCCTTCATAAACACTTCATGTCATGATATAACAACATGCATGATATTTTACAATCATTTATGTAAATGATGTTACAGATGCATAGATATTTGGAATGGTTCATAACAAGACATACTGTACTTTTAGCCAAAAAACTGAGAGCAGGACTCCAGGTGAAAATGACAGAGGAGGACTTGAGAGCTGACAAGGGCTTTCTGCAGATACAGCTCAGTAAAGGTGGTTGTGGTATGTTTATGTGAAGTTCCATTTCACTGTATGTTTTTTTATTTGTGCTTTTGTATTGTGTTGTGTTTTTGAAGGTGTTAAAAATTTGGTTTGTAACCTCATTTAAACAAAGCACTACAGGGAATGTTAACATTTAACTTGATCTGTTGCACGACGTGGAGTTAAACTTAAAAATTACAGACAAGAATTCAATAAATTCCTTAAGGAGCAGAAGGTCATTTGTACTAACATTTCGTAAAACTGTACACAAACTATTTGCAAAAACATTAGTCAGACTGCCCCAGTGGAGAGTATTTCTGAAGAGTGTAAGACCTGTTCAGAAATCCTCCAGGACAAAGACTAGCACGTCCAAGGTCCAAGATGTACACATTAGGTTATGATGCCGATGTATAAAGAGCTGGAATAATGGAGCACTGGTAGCATGAGTCAAGTTCTGATGTATTACTGTAGGTAGCAAAATATAAATCTTCCCAGGTAACAATGCAGGAGAAAGGCTGCAAGGAGTGAGATCCAGCAGTGGGTCAGGTTAGGTGGCACTGGCAGCAGAAGAGGAGGAAATCCATGCTGGGCACTCACATGGTTTGTCTAAACTAAGGGCAGGTAATGTCAGAAGGATCACAACAGCTAATGGATCTTAAAAAGAAATGGACAGCCTGTCAGTTACAACATGCAGAGGTGGAGGTATTAGCTGATTGACTGAATAATTAAATAAAGCAGAAATGGAGAGAATTAAATCCTAGGTAATCCTAGGGTTTGGAAGATTATGAGTAGGAAAATGAGCTCAGAGAGAATGATGTGAGGTTGGAGGCAAAGGTTTCTCCATTACAGATAGCATATGGTCAACAGGGACAGGTGACAACACATTGATATAGGGCTCTGACAGTTTAAGAAAAGAAAGAATTAGGCATAAAACCTGAGCCACCATTATCAACATTCGGTCAAGAGTAGATGAATTTCAATAACTTAATTTAGACTGCAACTAGAGAGGAGCAGTCAGCTACTATAGTTTAGATACACTGGTGCAAGCCAAAGAAGACAGCAGTTTACAGGTGAATGCAAAAGCACAGTACTATTATGTCAGCAAAGAGTCATGTGTTTAGGACTCAATACTGGTCAAATATGAAATGTATTGATACTCCCAGAAAGATATAATAGAAAATTAGACAATACGAAAACTACAAAGATCATCAAGCATTAGATAACTGCAATGTGTTTTATGACTGTTGAATTATGACAGTGATTTCTCACACCCTTTTCTTACAATTAAGAAAGCATTCTAACAGATCTCCCAAGTGATGCAAGATTTGTTCATCTTAAAGGTTTGATTTTATTTTTATATTACACCACAGCACGATATGAGATCATGCAGTGCTTGATTACAGTAAGTGTAATTATTCATTCTTTACCAGGAAGATGTGCAGAAAAACAAAGATTTGCAGACACCCAGGGCCTATCCTGGAAGGACATTGTCTGGTGTCTCCACACCCAGCACAAGATTCCAGTTACAACGCTAATTTCAAATTAAACACATAACATACAATAAAAGCTCAAGTTATGTATTCCTAATCACTTTTCTTGTAAAATACAAAACAAGTTTGCACTGCACAAATAAAATGTACTGTTCACATGCAAAAGGAACAGAAGTGAAAAAAGTAAAGAGAAAGTGGGGCAATTTTTATGGCATCTTTCACCTTGTTATAATAGACATTAATACAAAAACTGTTTTGTGAATCTAAACTATGCCCTTGAATGTTTTAACTGGCCCTAGTAGTAATAAATTGCACCTATTTAAAGAAAGATGTTTTTAATTACAGTAAACATAGTAATATACACACTTATCAATGTATCTTTATAAAGCACATATTACGTAAGGAAAGTTATTTTTAAATCAAGTTTTCAAAGCTATTTTACTAGTAATCAATTAAAATGTGCATAATGACCTTATTAACAAAAGGAAATGTTCTACATTCTGACATTGACCATTATTATATCTCACCTCCTCCCAAAAGAGAAAATGTCTTTAGATTAGGAGTTTGCCATGGAGAGGGAAAAAGCAAATGTATCACTAATATATCAGATTAACTTCCCATGGGTTCATCATTAACTGGAAGTGACTTTCAGGTGTTAGAAAGGATGGATGTGTTACTCATCGGCACCAAAAGGCCCCGAGCAAATGGTTACCTGACGTCTTTTTCTCTCGTTCTCTCAGAGACGTGGCACCTACCCTCAGCGAGCGGATCCAGAGTGTGAATCATCAGCTGGAAAATGCTGTTCCTCATCAGGCTGTTGTGCAGCGACGCTGAGCTTCCTCCTCGCTGGAGACGAGGCTTGAGCTGCAGGCGGAAGAAACGGCACAGATCACTTCACAGCCCGGCAACATGGCACCCCCCAGTTGTGCCCGTAGCCCCACTTCAGAAATAGGCACTAGTTAACTTTTTCTAACTCAGGCCTTCATGCCTTCATGGAGTTCACACTACCTGGTAATAAATGACTCTCTAAAACTGGGTATAATTTATACTGTATATGGATGCACTTAAGCTTTCTTTCTGAAGCATATGATCCCACTAGAAGAAATGCAGAAGTGTTTTCTCTTCTTTGGGCAAACTGCTATCATAAAACAAACATAAATTATCCCTTTAAGTGCTACATATAGAAAACAATCATTTCTTAATAGAGTAAAATGATATGAATCTCATAAGGAGCAATACTAGGTTTTCCTTTTGTCTATACTCTGACAGACTTTATTTTCCATTTGACTTCATGTTGTACTGTGCAGTACATGATTATCTTCCTTCAGTAAAGGTTACAGTCCTTATGTGACTTGTAAAGCCCCGCTACATCATACTTTTCCAAGATTTCACTTCCATAAGAACCTCGGGATGATATGATCTTTCTGGGTGATCTAGAAGTGTCATCAGCTCATGATGAAAAGATATTTCAACAGACCGTTGTGTGCAGCGTTAGTCATTTTAGAAAATATTACATCTTCAACTTGGTTAGAAAAAACAAACTCGGATAGAATGTGCTGTGTACATAAGAAATCACTGACAGGTTCTTCCATAAAACATTCAACAACCAAGAGGGTAGGGTTAAGGAAGAATACATGGTTTTGAAAAAGAAAGAGACAGACAAGAGTATGGTATAGACTGCCATTTATGAGAAGACACACAAAGAAAGGCGCTTGAAAGAAATCAGCAGGAAGGTGACTATCAACACACAACACAGACACATATCTACTGTAACAAGTGAAGGCAGTGGACTCCTACCGTCAACTTGTTTTCATCTCCAGGTGGATCAGTACTTGGCTTTGCAAAGAAGAGAGAGGAAAAAAATATACTGACATAATGCAAAATAGCGAAAGACTTACAGATGAGAAGATGCACAGGAAAAATTATAATATGCAAACATAAAAACAAAAGAGCAAACTTTCTTCTTCAATTGCTCCAAAAGCATGCCCAGCTACGTTAATAGGTGCTAATTTAAGTTATGGATAAAAATAACAAGTACATGAGGAAAAAACAAATAATGAGCATTTACTATGGTGATGATCATTCCTTTCATATTCCTGTTTGTAATATGGAAATATAAACAGTAAATCATTCATGAATTAAATGCTGAATGGCACTAGCATGGACTTTGAGGAATGAAGGCTCCTTAGAGCTCTGCACTTGATTGAAGAGCATGGAGCCTGCTCCTTATTACTCTGGGAAAGAAGGCACAAGCAGATAACAATCTAGCATGTAGACCTCTCAAGTTCATACTCCCTGAATGGGGGACAGCTTAATTAAGGGAGTATGAAACTATAATAAAACTTAAAAAACTATAACACTAACCAGGTGCCTGACACTAAGTCTGATATGGGGTTGTTGTGTAGGCAGGGGTAACTATGGCAACTCCCACTGAAACCATTGTCCTCCTTAGTTGCAACACCAGGCCATTTTGAGTATATAATATCAAAGTAACTAAGAAAGCTCTGTGCATTTATAAATAAGCAGACTCATTTGCAATTATTTATTACTAAAAATGTAACCTTTAAAATGTCCAAATTAAAAAAAGGTTTGACTTTTTTCCTTGTGCTTCAAGTATATACTACAGATATCTTTTGTCAGTCTTTAATGATATATTTAAGAAACAATTATCATATTGTTTTCACTAAACCTGCTGTTTTGTGGTCAGGCTGGGCCCTTAACTTTGCAGTTAGACAATTCATACTGAATTCCCATTGCAATCATAAAACAAGCACCACAGGACAAACATAAAAAATAATAAAAAATAACTACAAGACTGTTCAATCTTAGATAGATCTAAAATTAATAATGTAGTTTACAGAACAGATTAAATGAAACTTTGACCCCCACAAGAATTACAAACCCAGCTCATCACTGAAGATTTATTTTGTTTCCAATACCAACAAAGGTAAACAAAATTAAGTGTTGGCCTTGTAATTTATGATCCAGAAGTGAGTCAAAGTTTTGTCTCAATCCAGTTCTATGTGAGAGATTCAGAAAATATAGAACATAATGCATAAGATGGGAAACATACAGTACGTACTGTATATTAACTTGGAGGCCTACTGACCACTGCAACATAAAACTCTAAATCTTAATCTAACCATTCCATTTTCTTATTAGCATTAATGTCCTGTGCTCCTTTCAGGTTGAATCACAGGGCATTATAGCACTCCTTCCCCAGGCCAGATACAGCCCCCTCTTTATACTATAGCCTCCTAGCTACAGTATATGCAGTAAACAAGATCTACAATGTCCTCCAAACGTATTGGCACAACAAAATCAAAACGTGTTTTTGCTTTACTTCCCAGCATGTATATTACATACAATTGAATATACATTTTATTTTGGATAATTCCATGAATACATCTGATCATTTTAGAACAAAAACATACTTTGTGTTCAGCTCAGTGACCAAGCATACTGTACCTGTATTGGGACATAGTCACTTTACATTTGAGAGAGGTGAAGTCAGCACTTGCCTGCATGCATATCCCTTTGAGACAATAGCTACAAAAAGTCTGCAACCCCTTAAAGCTCTCAAACCTCTTTGTATAATCATTAAAATACTTTGCTGCAGATTGTGTTCTTCCATATTTGTGTAGTGTTCTGACTTCAGCTCCAAGCTTAATAGTATTTAAAGCTGGAGATTAACTTGCCCAGTCTAAGATTTTATTGTTTTTCCTGATTAAATCCTTTTTGCTTTGCTTGTACGGTATGTTTTGGGTCATCGTTGGCTACATATTAGATGTACAAAAGGTTTGGAGGCAATTTCTCCTATATAAGGCAACCAAATGTTTCAGTAAACGTCAGAATTCATTATGCTGCTCCCAACATTAATTACATCTTCAATAAGATGAGTGAGCCAGTTTCAGAGGCAGCAGTGACTCTGTGCAACAATTGAGATTGGGTTGTTTTGAGCACTTGCAGTTCCTTACTTTCTTCTCGCTTTAATCTCACTTAATCGCACTCTCAAATCACTTTGGTAAAGGTTGATCTTAGTTTCATCTACCCATACATTTTGTTCCAAAATTCTCCGGACTGATCTTTGTATTTCCGAACATATTATGAAGCATGGTAGAAGCATTCTTATGAGCTGAGTATCCTTGGCCACCTCTGGGACTGGCTGTATGTCCAGGCCTACTGTGCAGATTGTTTTCTATACAAGATGGAGCAAGGGGTTCTTCTTCATGAAAATGAAGACACTGTCCATCATAATGGGAGTTCTGGTCACTGGAAGATGCCTCTCACATCATTTTCTGTTACCAGTGTCAGGTAGAATGGGTGACTATTATACAGTAACTGCACATGTCTGCTTAAGGACCCTATTCTATCTAAAATCAGGGTGGCCTTGCTTGTTTTGGTAACATAAAATATCCTGAAAGCCCTCTGAAAACACTTGAGTCAAATAAAATAAATAAGTAATTTCTCAATATATACTGTAGTATGCTGGAAATATAAAAATACATAAATATAAAATAAGTAAGAGGGGGGCTAATCCTGGGTGGGCCCCACAAAAATATGGAATATGGAAAATGGGTAGCATTTAAGAAAATCATGTATGCATTCAACTTCATATTTTACCAATAGTCTGATCTTAATCTTTGATAAACTATATCAAATGCAGGATTCAATATTAACAAGTTTAATTTTACATTAGACCGGGGAATACAACTATATTTTATAAACTCCTTTTGCCATTTAATGCTCTTGTACTTGTACTTATACCTACAGTATAAGTAATTAACAATAATTATTTAATCAGCAATTGATAACAAGTTTGATAACACAACATGCCATCTGCATCCCCCAAGATAAGGTGCAACTGAAAGATTTCTAAAGATGTGGACAAACTAGGCCATTTTACCACATAGCTATCTTCATACTAAATTATTCTTTAATCAGGATCTAAAATATATTTTAATTATAACAGCAAATTTAAAATATCCTGAGGAATACATATCCAGGCAGATTTGATTGGTGGAATGCAGATAAATACATAACAGTATACTTCCTGTATAAGAACTGTATATCAGACAATAAGAAATTGCATTTTATCCCATTGGCCACAATATTTGAACAATTAACTTCGGAAAAGGAGAGTATGGTAAGAACAGACTCATATGATAAATTCTGTAAGAAATGCAAAAATAGTGTTACGGCTATTGAAGTGTCAGGATCTAGACACAATGGATCAAAAACGTAGGGTTTTGCAGAGCTTTACTATAAAGGTGGCCTGAAAGACACCGATCAAAATTAATCTTCAAGAAATGTGCCGGGGCCAGAGAACCTTTGAATCAGCCTCAACAATCAATTCTATATATTTAAACCTTACTTTAGAGAACTTTCTTTTCTGTTTAAGGAACTCTGATTTTCCCGTAGAAAGAATCCTGGTTAGTGGACGCAATTACAGAATACGGAGATAGATTCCCTTTTGCTTTAGAGCATCCAGGATTTGTGGGAAGCCCTGATTTAGCCCTGCATTGTACAGTATTCCTTTTTATTCAGCATACAGGTGCCTCTCTCCTGTGGGCCTGTTTAAGTAGTATACAGGATTCTGAATACTCAGTCAGAAGTCTGTTTTTTTTTGGTTTGGAGGTAGATCTCGAAGATGCCTTTGGTAACTGTAAATAGAGTAACTTGTATTTGTGTTGTTTAGTGTGTTGTTATTGTCAATGTTAATAAATATGTTTTTCCCAGTTTGCCTCTGATTTATTACTCCTTCACCAGCGCCACGCCAAAGAACAAAAAACTTTGACACCCAAAGATTGGTAATGCAGTCAAGAGGGGCTTTGTTGTTATCCTTCATTTTGTGTTCTTCCTGCCACAGATTTGCTGTGCAGAGGATCAACACCTCACTGCATAGTGTAAAGCCATTTAAGAGCCCTTACCTGGCACTTCACCAGCAGGATTCACATGGCAGTGTTTGTGGTGGATCCCAAGCCGCCTGACTGGCCACATGGGAATCGTAATTGAGCCTTATTAGTGCTATATCTGGTAAAGCCTTCAGGGCAACTAGCTCTAGAGCCCACTAGCTGGAGCTTAGCAATCATCCCCCAGCTAAAGCAATGACCTCTCCCCTGACACTCATGATTTCTTTTTTGCCTGCAAAAAAAAAAGATTAACTAAGGACTTTGACACACAGATTAAGTAAGAGCATGCCTTTTTATACTTGATCTCATTGTTGGAGGTTAAATGAAAGACAGCTGCCCTGTGCACAGAGTGCAAATGGCATGTGCTCTTTCATTCCCGTCACCTGGTCTGAACCTCTTTCTAAATGAGTTTTGTTGTTTTTTAGTCTGCGTCATCACATCCTTATTTCTAAAGGCATTCTCAGAAAAGCATGTGGAAAACTGATCTACAGCATAACAACAAGTCTTTAGAAAAGCCTTGGCTCACTTGATTTATGTGACTTAGCTTTATTGGTTTTGAGAAAAGGACGTTTAACGGTTTCAGGATTTTTATTTTCTAATCTTGAACAAGATCTATAGAGGGAAGGAATTAATCTTAAAATCATGCATCAGTGCACTTACGTACAGTACATAAGTCTCGTGTCCCTTCCACATGCAAACTGATTTTTTTCCCAACAGAATTTGTTTAAAATAGTTTGAATCACCCAGCCCTGATCAGAGAGCTGCTTATGCCTAGCAAGGGTCACATAAGAACAGAGTCTCTCCCAGAAGCCTAGGGCACAAGGCAGGTCTACATGTTGGGCCGGATGCCAGAGTAAACACACACAGGACAATTTCAAGACATCAACTAACCTAGTCAGCATGTCTTTGGAAGAAACTTGAGAA